CGTTTTAACTAAATAAGTAAGACGATAGTCTGTTAATATAATATTCATACCAGTATAGTTTAATAAAGAAGATAGATAAAATTAGCTAGCATATAAATAATGCTGGCTAATTTTATCTCATAATACGATTTTTTATGTAGTAAAAAATTAAAAACATGTATAAATAATATTTTAAAATTGATCAACATTATTTTTTTTCAGCACCAGTAAAATATTTACTTACATTAGGGCCTCGCCACCATTTGTCAATACAAACCAACTTCTTAACCTTCTCACCATCCTTCACTGATCCTCATCCATCTTCTACTCCTCATCAGAATGATAGAGATTTCCTCCTTTGCTTTTTGTTAAGATTCCATGAATATCTCCTTATGCTTTTATTTCCCGCCTTTATTAAATATAATAATGCTTTTCATCTCCTTTTCCTCTTCTATAATACAGTAATTTAAATTATTATATTTCACTTACAAATCATTTACCTGATAAATCGGTAAGAGATTACTAATATATTAGGTAAATGATTTGTGGGCTAAAAACAAATCATTTACTCAATATATCGGTAATCTCTTACCGATTTATCAGGTAAATGATTTGTTAGTTAAGTAACTCTAGAATTGATTTAAAAAATAATTTATATGCCAAATTTTATTATGCTTACCTCATTCACCTTACTATTTTTCACCATTCTTGCACGATTGTAGGCCTTTAATTTTGGATCAGCATTTATTGTTGCTGTCCGACGCTGCGTCTTATGATGTTGTTTTAAAATTTTTTCAATCGCACCAGAATGGTGCCGATATCCTGATAATTTTTTTGTAATGGCCAGAATCAGCTTTTGCCTCATATTCCGCAATTGGCTAGCCCATTGTTTAGCCAGATCAGGCTTTAGGTCAGATAGCTTACCACCTTCTATTAATACTTTAATTTTGTCCTTTGGTAATAATAATTATAATAATATTAATAATAAAAGTAAATTAATTATAATAACATTAGACGCAAATCACTAACTCTTCCCAACAATCACTTGTACCAAATTCTTCTTGAAAACAATTGCAATTTACTCAACATTTTATTAAGTAAACTATCTTTGGCTGCCTAAGTAAAGTTGTTCTACACTTAATTTTACTTATAGGCGGTCTTGTTTTATAGCTCTAAGGCTTTTTGCTACTGAGTTATAACTATATTTCTAAAATTATTTATTTTGCCGTTTACTTAAAATTTTATTAAGTAAACCCATCTTGCTTATTAATAAAAAAAGATTAAGCTCAATCAGAGCTTTAATTTGATATATAATACATCTAAAACGGATAAATACTTCTAATTCTGTTAACAAAATAATATAAAACTCCCTACAAAAACTCTGCTTAATTTTTACAAAATTTTTTCTTTTTTTTGGGGCATTCTGCTCCCCCTAGGGCGCCCAAACTTGCAGATCCCAATTACTAATCTATATTACTAATCAATTTACACAATCCCAACCTTGTTTCATTTATTTTTATACAAAATACCTTCTTTACCTTTTTGTTCTAATTAAATTTACACAAATCTTAGCTCTCGACGATCCCGTCAATCCGCTGATCGCTATACTGTGTGACACCTTATTTGTCATACCCCCTTATTTATCACAGTCTCTTATTTATCACATCTCCTTATTTGTCACACCCTCTTATTCGTCACACCACTTTACTAAAACTTCTATCTATTCTTCAACATTATGCCCACTTTAATCTCTGAAGATCCGGACTCTTACAATCTCGATTACTACTACAAAAACTATCATGATCGATACGGAGTAGGGATTACAGAAAAGGATCCCAAAAACCTCAAAGTACTTCCACATGCTTTTAAACCTGAAGCTTGTGATCCAACAAAAAAGCACTTCTTTCAAGTACCTCACCAACCTTCCATTGGTAAATGCTACTGTGATAAATACCACACTAGCTTTACTTCAGCAAATTACAGAATCACACACACAGAGCACACAACTGTTGGTCAACCTGCAATTACATCT